TGCCATTGATAGCTCGTCTTGTACACAGTCAGAGTCAACGTTAATCAGAATGAATCTTGTTAGGGAGCCTTTGATTTAGCATGAAAATGCATGAAGAAGGTCGATCTCAACAGAAGAAAAAGGCCGATTCTCGGTGTACTGTAACCGTTTGGCTATAACACGACGTTAAGGATGACGCTTTGGAGATCTTCTTGACTCAGTGGAAAAGTGAGACTTATACAAGAATGAGTTACAGGTCTGATGACTTCCATCAAATGATGGGCAAAAGCTCAACTCTTTTGCACCCGAATGAGGGAGAATGTCTTGTGGGTTGCGTCAACCTGAACATGGTATTAAAGCCAATCGGCTGAAGTACAACATAAATCAGTCGTTGTCTTCTGGTGGGACGAAATAAAAGTCTCCAAACAATAAAGAATGATTTCACACATTTTTATGGGATCCGCTAGTCTTCATCGTGCCAAATCTATCTACAAAGAAGAAGAAAATAAAACTAAACGGCATTGAGCTGGAGAAACGGTTTGAAAGTTGACGCCAGTCTTGAATATGCGGCCGCTAGTGAAGTTTGGCAACCCAAAAGCCAATAAAATAAGGAGAGTGTGTGAAGCTTGTCTAATCTAATCGCCTGACAAGCATATCAAACATCCGCAAAAGTGAGTCTGAAGTTCGTCGATAAAGATTTGTCAAATGGTCGAATGGATAGACGGTTATGGCGTGCACATGAAGACGACGATGAAGTTAGTCTTTGGTTTAGTCGTAACTCTACCTCGACACCGCAACTGGGTTACAGGGACAGGTGGTAAACTGCTATTTTGCTATTAGCCAGAAACTGTATTGCAACAGTGGCACATACAACGGGACTAGAAACCGAGTAGCGGGCATCGTGGCGACAAATCGCCTCTCCCCAAACAATTGGATTGTGGACTATATGAAAAATATTCTGTATCATGAGGCTTCGAGGATTCTAGTACTTCTTAGATAGGATGATATAAAGATGGATGGTATCAGAAAGACTGTGCTGGCTGCCGTGGCTGCTGATTCGCCAGGCCTCTTTAAAAGAGCTCAACCAAACGTGTACGTAGGCATTTGCTCTTCGGCCAAACGCTGGAAGAGACTAAGCCATGGCCAGAATGACAGTGGATGTGCTACGAGCCGTGTGGGCAAAAAGTAGATTTTGTAGCAAAATGTTTGGATGTCCATGAAAAAGGCAGATCTCCAAATCTGTCACGGGGACGGAAAGAAGGGTGCAGCAAGAGGGAGATAGCAAGAAGCGCTCTGATCTAGTTCTCGAAACTTGGTCGTGTTGTCATGGCAGCCTAGTTGGATGCATCTTGTCCGAAGTCCCCTGCCATAATAGTTATCCTCATTCCCTTCATTAGAGCGTGGATTCGATACACTCCCACACGTTTCGTCGGCATCGTGAGTGAACCTGGCCAGCCCTATCAGCACACTGCAAATCATCAAAGAGACAAGTGAAGTCACTTCTTCGACGAAATGCCCGCTGAACAGTCGTGGTATCTCTCCAGTCCTGGTGCATTAAACATTCCCATATTCTCGTATCACCCCATCATACTTGCATATTAAAACCCAGTCTCTGTGATGGGTGCTGAGAGTGGCAAGACTTACCGAGGATGCTGGCAAAACGTCTAGGAATGGACCAAGTTAACGGCTATAGCAGACGATTTCGGACAAGGTGTATCCGACTATGCTGCCGCGACAACACGACCAAGTTGAGGAGACGAGGTCAAACCGCTTCTATACATCGAAAAGAGACTGAGGCAAAAGTAGAGGCCACGACATTTTGACCTCCACACATACGAAAATGACAAGTTGTGTAAATATGTGTGCAACATTGAGGTGAAGGCATCCCATATACACTTGTCGCATAATTCACACAAGGGCGCCAAAGTAGTGGTATCGGGCCCGTTTGTTGCTATAACGAAGTGAATGGAAGTTTTTCATAAAGTGGATTCCCTCGAAACCGAAAGAGGGTTTCATTGAGGTCTGTTTAGCACTCCGGAGCCCTGCAGACATGCGCACCAGAGTACGTGTAAACACGGTTGGTGTTTTAGGCAAAGCAACGGATGTTCGGTCATATCCACATGCATTTTACCCACCTAGAAACATGCAGATGGAAGCATGAAGTAGTCGACCAAACCGTGACACGCTTCAGTAGGCTCGCGAAATCACACAAGTATGTGTTGGCAAGTAGTCCATCGAACACTTTCTTATCCAAAACAACAACAACTGGGTTTCGAGTAATTCTTTGGTCCTGTTTGTCGCGATGTGATAAAACAAAAAGCTGAGCACCGATCTAGAGGGCTTGGGGGACGGGTGTCGTTGGTTTTTATACGCACACACCAACAGCAGATGTGCTTCGATCCGAGACACGGCTATTTGATAAACTCTGCAAATCAGGTTTTGGTACCAAATGAAGTATGCGATGACGTGAAATTGCTGGAGCAAGCAGAATCCGCCGGAAGTAACCTGAAATGGCCTGAAACGACCCGACACAACCCAAAGCAGCATGTGTATAAAGGGATTAATGAACAAAAGTTTGAGGCAGCAGGACGTTTTCTGACCGTCCGTATCAAAATCCATCCAAGATAGAAGCTGTATTCACCCATTTTCGTTTAGGGCGACTAAAGACTGGTGGCCGATGGCTTCCAGACATAAATGTAAGAAGGCACTTCCCATCGCCTTGTTTCGCTTTTTTCATTCAGGCAATGTCGACCTCGCCTCAACTCATCTTATCGGCACCCCCAGCGGGACTCGAACCCGACTTACGAGAATGCAGCCTGCCACTGCCTTTTGATCACCGCGCTTTATCCCATTTCTCTGGTGAGATTGTCGTCGAAGCAAAGTTGCGTTTGCAACTATTATCGACTACAGCGGGAGTCGAGTCTCGCTGGAGATGCAATGCGAAGCACCATGGAAACATGAGACCTACTCACGAGACTGTGCAAGAATTCACCTACCAATTCTTCGTCACTTCACACCAAATAGGGTGAATACAGCCATTGTATAGAGTCTAGTGGTAGCCTCGAGAGCCTAATTATAATGGAAAATATCCATCCATCCATCTGTCCGTCCCAAGTGCACTTCGGGCTAGCTAGCCGGGGTGGCTCGGGCCCAATGCGCCAGCTACCGACGGGTTGGAAACACTCGCTTCGGAGACAGATGAGCATGACGACCGGCTGAAAGAGTGCGCACCCTGATCGAGGCAGTCAGGGCAATTAGCACGTCTCATCTGCCGGGCATACAGACAAACGTCCATAAGCCTAGAGAGATGGGAAAATGGGACAAACATCGGCACGCTCTGTTCAAGGGGCAATGGGGTGCGGAAAAAGGCATCATCAGGACGGTTGGATATTTCGCTTTGCCGGCCAGCCGTGGCTACACATCGACTCTGCGGAGATGACCGATGACCGCTGAACCAAATCGAGGTGTTGCTCCTCTCTTCCATCACCCTACCTACAGTCGGGACGGCCAGCAGGCGGGCGAGAGAACATGTCACTGTGTGTCGGTTTGTATCTTCATCGGGGGCAAATGCTAGTGTGTGCAGTAGCTTTCGTTGGCAAGCCGACAAGCGCACAACCGGACGAGGGGACAACCAGGCGAGCCGAGGAGTGGGCCAGAGGGCCGGCCTAGAGGGCGGATGCAGAGAGGAATAGGGCACCCATGAGGACAATTGAGGCGATCGATATACCCACCACAACAGACACACCCATCTACATGTTGACAGCCGAGGTGAATGTAAATGCAATGGGCGGGACATCATATTAATGCACACACATATACATGCATACACACAAATATGAATATATTAATACAAACATATATATATATATATACTCATAATAATAATAATAATAATACTAATATATATATATTTATTATTATTATTATTATTATTATTATTATGAGTATATCTGTATAAAGGGGGAGAGTGAGAGTGAAAAAGAATAGCTTGTTGAAGCCACATCATGTGTTGGTTTAGTCGGACCCATCAACTGGCCGGAGCCGCCTACTCAGCCAAGTTGGGCATCAGCCTCTGACCGAGCGACGTAGTCAGGCTCGGATTTGTTGAGCTTGCTTCCATTTCGGATAAAGTGTTTGGTGAAGAGATTCCAAGGTCGATTCCGAGGGAAGGATAAAACCGGAGCTCGAGCCTTCGACATTCACCGCAATTAG